TGTGTGTGTGTGTGTGTGTGTGTGTGTGTGTGTGTGTGTGTGTGTGTACCTGCACACAAGGCTGCAGCTCTCTGAGTCTGTTTGCATTGGTGTGTTCATTTGTTGACAACGATTTAGAGACTGGTCCGTCTATTCCTGGATGTCTGAGTCTTCCCGTCGTCACTGTTAATGGTTCTTCACATGGGGCAAGGCTGGTTACAGTAACATACCAGCTTACAGTAATGTGAGGGCGGACTATTTCTCATAAATACTCTCCCTGGCTAAGATCCTGGTCGGTTCTGGTACGATACCCTAGACCGCAGTCGTTTCTTGCCAAAATGGAAGTCTGAGTTGAATAAGACCTGCTCTGCCTTCTCAAGCGTCAGCTCATAAATCACTGAATGAATTGATAAACCTATGGCATCCAGTAAATGCTTTAAAAGTTTGGAAGTTGCGGCTTTGAATTGCCACCTGTGACATAAGTAGATCTCTAAATGGTTAATGCTGGACTAAGTCTTGAAATATTAGATTTCACTCTGGTCTTCACGAGGGGATGTTGTTTTTGTCTTTGGAGGAATGTTGAACTACTAGCTGCTGCATTAATTCAACACTGCATGGCAAATCTCAGTCCATAGGGTAAAGAGGTCAAAGATTAATGTCTTACTAAGTGGTTATGAGTTTTGCATTGAATTACTCTACGTGACATAACTTTGTCTCAATGTATGTAAAGCAGGCGTGTCTGGTAAATATTCAGAAACCAATTTATTAGACTGGTAGACCCGCTCGGGGGAGGAATGTTGTTGGTTTTTGAATTCCCATACGGCCTGTTAAGAGTGCAGTATAAACCAGGAAGTGGATTGGGGGATTAAAGGCGGTGCAGACACTTTAAAGAGCAGGAATGAAAGGATTTTTGTCTCAAAACCAAAACATGTCTGCACACTTAAACTTCACAAAAAATGCTCATATATCGTTCCCCTAGTATACTTTAAAATATAGTGTTTCCGTTTTTGTTTTTTTTGTCACACAGAGGAGACCTCAAAATAATTGTTCAAGTGTACCCATAATTCAGTGTTGTATTGTATCTTACATGCAAAGTGCTCGTTTCACAGTGAGACGTTTGTTCATGTTACATGAGATTGCTTTTGAACCATTTTTGATGAAGTTTAGGTAATAAGAATATAATAAGAATATACGTGGAGTGTAAAATAGAAGTTATCCATCATGCATTGAAATACATATGCTCAGAATGTACAAAAATGTAAACATGCCAAGTTTTTACTGGTTTTGTTTTGCACGGACCACCGAGACTTCATAACGTGGAGACAATGCTGAGAAAGAGCTGTGGAAAATGTAATTATCTTTGTGTGTTTGCTGTGCATCCATCCATGTGTTTGGGCTCACGTCTGCCTGTTTGTCTTTGTGTGTTCAGTAAAATATTTACAGCATTGGCAGTGTCTATCCATTGTTGATGGCAATGGAAAGTATGTCTCACTGTGGTTGGAAATTCATTTCAGCACCTTTCCGTTGAAAAAAAAAAAAAACTTCCCACGGAGCCGTCTCTTCACATACATGTTCTTTTGGGGTCCAGCTCTGGAGGCATGTGGAATAGCGGTAACACTGCTTTCTTGCAAACACTCCCTTGAGTAGTTCAGCATTTTGGGGGAGTGGTGGACCATTAAGGGTTTGACAAGTGGGATGGTGGGCAGGTAAATCATTGCTCCCAGACCCTGCCCACTCTACTAGACCTCTAACCATCATCTTTCCGACCATATCTGTCTTAATCGCTCAGTGTCAGTCTGTCTGTTTTTACCCCACTTCCTGCCCTCCACACCTTCAGTCCAGTCAGCCAGCCTGCTGGTGTGAAGTTTCTCTGTTTAGTTTACTGAATTTTCCGACCTTCGGGCGCTTTCTGACAGACTCTCGTACTTCTGTCCCTCTGTTCCTCCTGACCTCACTCCTTGGCCGCTGTGCAGGAGGCGTGAGGACGCAGTGCTGGGCTGTCAGGAATTACTGGGGAAGCTGTTTGACATGGCCATAGGACTCCCAATTACCTCACTTTCTTCCACTCTCCTCTCCCTCCCGTCTTTCTCCGTGTTCCCACTCTTAGTCCTCCTCTCTGCAGCTATACATTCTAAAAGGTGAAACTGTGAAATATAGACGAGGTATGTTCAGGGATTTGAAATTAATAGAAATAAAGCACAGTGTTAAAGTAATGTAGTCATTCATACTGTCCAGTTGATGCTGCCGTAGGTTTACTGCAGGTGTGTGTGTGTGTGTGTGTGTGTGTGTGTGTGTGTGTGTGTGTCTGTCTGTGTGTGTGTGTCTGTCTGTCTGTGTGCCAAAGAATACATTTGGTTAATGTGGGAGCTGCAGGATGATTAAGAACATCGAACTAGGAAGCTGCCATCTATGAGCACTGGCACCAGTCCAGTGTGGTATGTGTGAAAGTGTGCACAGATGGGCACATATCCTTCGAGAAACTGACTTCCTGTGCCTGCTAAGGATTACTACAAATACAAAATATGGGCTTGATTGAATGTTAAAACTCCATACATTGGAGCTTTGGACTGGGCAAAAAGCAGGTATTACAACCGTGCCACACTTAAAATAAATACTTGAAGCTTAGCCTGTGTCGTGCAATGGAAAACCCTACAAGAAGCCTTGAATGCGAGGCAGTTAGCTTGTATATCCATTCATTTTCTCGGTCTAGGTTCTTGACAGTCTGTCCTCAGTAGTGCAATAGAGAGTGCTGTTATGTGCTCACTTGGACACTGTGTTCCCATAGCTGCCCCAGTCCTTCTCGTGTGGGAACTCTGATTTGATCACTGGGTTTCCAGATTTTGCTGGATTTACTGTACTTGGACTGGATGTCCTGTAGCTCACTGTGCTCTATCTATTGTATGGCAGGATCCCCACTTCCTGTCTCTGCCTCTCTAGTCTGTGTTTCATTATCTTTCTATCGGGCTGTCTTATTTCTGTGTGTCTTGGACTGTGTTTAACTCTCTCTCTCTTCCTCTGTCATCCTTCTGTCCTTTGCTCAGGACTCTTAGTTCAGCCAACATTCCTGTTGATCGTAGGAAGGAATGAGCACCGTGCATCGTGTCCTCGGACAAATTAGCTCACTAGATGAATTCTTATTCACACATGATGAAGTAAGAGGCCTAAAATAGCACATGGTGCCAGACAAGCAGTGGAGGCTGGGTTGGCACTAATAACGTTAGCGCATGAGCTGTTGGTGTTCAGTGCCGGCGTCGTTGTCTAGTTGCACAAGCTTTTTTTATATCACACAGGTTTATGCAAACTTGCTTGCATCGGTCTAGCATCAACAAAATAATGACTTGTTGTTACTCTTCAGTAGGAGTTGGCTAAGCATTGTATGCAAAATGTTTCGGGTTATTTCATTTTGCATCTATTTATAGTAACGAGATTTAGAGATGGAAGCAACATGTGGAGAGATCATCTTTTGAACGTGGCTCATACTAACTGCGTCTTGTTTGCAGGGGCTTATGTGTGTTTCTTCCATCACTTAATTGTAATACTTACTGTATATAATATAAATCTGTCGAATAACCTTGCTTTCTGTATTTTCATTATGTTCTGCAGGTGAGATTACTTGTTTCCTTAGTATCCTTTCCTGCCTACTTGCTATCTGGGTTGTATTCTTGGAACCTGCTGAGCCACAGTATCCCTGAAGGGATCATTAACATTTGCTCTAATGATGGTGATGCTGATCACTCTTCCCCCTCATCTCACTTTTCCTCACCTCTCGCTCTCTCTCTCTCTCTCCAGACTTCAAAGCTGTGACACCCACTTATCAAAAAAGTATCACAGTATCTTTGTACTGTACCAAAGTATAATTTAAAATGATGACTTCATGATGTTGGCAGCCTCCATGTCAGCTTGTAGAAATCATGCGACAGTCTTGTGTAAGACTGGAACTGTAGTAAATCGGGTAGTACCACAACCAATTACGCACTCTGGAAAGAAAGACGTAACGAGGAAGGTGTGATGCAGTGATCAGACAGCATACTGTCTTTTTTTGCATCTCGGCATCGTACAAGCTGCTGATTAGACACAAAAAATATAATTATCATGGCTATTCATATGCTGCAGAATATTGGGTGTATGAATGTTGCATACACCCACTCATATAGTCCGCCCCAGCTAAAAGAAACCTGTAACGTAATAAGTAACCAAATTCTAATACAATATGAGGGAAAGTTTTTCAACATGTTCCCAGTCTATGTATGCTTCTGTGTGCTGAGTGGGAAAATGTGAGGCATTGCGGTTAAAATGCAAATTTATACCTGAAGTAATTGATATTTTGGTCAAATACTAAATAAAACACTGACATATTATGAGGTTGATTTGGTAACTTGGATATTGCCTCGTAATGTCTGAAAAGTATAAACTTCGCTTCTACCGATTGATTACCAATTTAAGAAAACAGTTTTACACAAATCAATACT